AGTATAGTCTTTTATTCTATTATGTTAATTCATTATGGTGTAGTAATAATAATCCTTGTAAACAGATAGTTGGGCAAGTTAGTAAAGTGAGGGATTCTTATACAATTTTTGTGAGAGAAATCGTGTAGAATTATGCTTTAGGTTTATTATGTTTACTTGCATTAGAAATCATGCCTTAGGTTTATTATATTTACTTGCATTAGAAATCATGCCTTAGGTTTATTACGTTTACTTGCTTTGGAAACCATGCCTTAGGATTGTTTGGCATACTAGAAAATATGTTATAGGCTCATCACCTCATTTGTTACGAAATTCTGCTTCTGCATAATCATGATCACCTAGAAATTCTATTATTAAATTACTGTTATAATCATACTTAACAAAAACGTCCATTCGTTATGTGCATTAGAGATCCTGCTTTAGGACTGTTATTGCATTCACTTTAAAACCATGTCTACATCGCATAAATCAGTAACTATCCTGTTTAAAAGCAATCCCAACACCTAGATATCATATTCTAGGATTAAATGTATATAAACCAGCTCTATAATGTTCAGTCCTAGACCAGCATGCCTATAGGACTTAAAAAGTTCAAAACAATTTGTTTTAAATTGATCCTGATTACATTTTAGACAGCATGTTTATAGGGTATCTCCGCCTAGGCAAGCCTGTAGTTAATCAAAATCTTATAAAAACTGGAAATTCTGTTGTGCATATTTGTGAACTACCCAGATTCAACAGATTCTAAAATCAGTGGGCAAACTAATTAGGTCTTTAACGCTTTGCCTTAACACAATGCTACATATTTTCTGCTTGTCATGCTCACCTAGATATCCTGTTCTAGGACCTCTCTGAAACATCCGAAATTTGTTGTTTGAGACGTGCACTTGCATGCTCTATTTGTGGAGGTAAAATGTGAACCTTTTAACTGTTCTATCTTTGGTCCAGTCCTACGTATTTTGTTTGTCGCCTAGAATTTTCTCCTTTTAATTATTATAGGAGAGTCTAGATCCACCTTAACTAGAAGTCCTAAATACCTCCTGGACTGTATAAGTAAAGGGACAGGTAATGCATGCATAGGATATATCTTAAGGTTGCTAGAATGCTTTAGGCTATGACCAAGGGAAGGGTAATTGGGTAGTAAAGGATATGATGACCTGTGCGCTAATGCCACGTGTAACCCCTCTATTTGAGGAAGGCTTACCGAGTATTGTACAGATGTGATCCTTTAGGCCAACAAACCTAGGACCCCCTTTACCCTATTTAAATAAACTTTATGTGTTTATGTGCTTTGTTTCTTAAATGACTAATTCACATAATTCGAGTTCGGACGGGGCCCACCGTTGTGGACTGCGAGGGGTGCCTAACACCTTCCCCTCAAGGTTATTTCGAGCCCTTACCCAAGTCTCTGGTAATGCAAACCGGTTTCATGAGTTACTTGCTTTAGGTGCCCTAACGCGCCTTAAATCCGTTAGGTGGCGACTCTTCAAAATTCAAATACCCAATTTCCAAAAGGAAATGAGTTGTTCTCAATGAATGTCGAAACCCGGACTCCGCGAGGAAAAAAGGGGGCGCGACAACGGAGACGTCAATAATTATCCTCGGGAGGCTCTAGAACTATTAGGAAAAGCTTCACTTCTTTGATTCCTTATCGTGCAAAATTTTTTACTTCAGGAAACTAAATTTCTGTCTTTATATTCTCTCATAGATGGTAAGGACACGTACAGCTGGATCAAATGACCAGACACCCGCGCCCCCTACTAGAGTCGCAAGACGCCAAGGCGGGGGTAGAGGCCAAGGAAGTCCACGTGGTGCATCCAGAGCACCTGCACGAGCTGCTACATAGGAGCCACCAGTAGCTCCAGTGGGAGAGTAGGCACTTGAGACGCTTGTTACTGCACCAGCTCTCCAAGAGAGTCTCGCCCAATTTCTGAGCATATTCGGCACTTTGGCTTAAGCAGGTTTGATACCACTTGTTCCTGCAACATCTCAAGCCGGGAGAGGAGCACAGACTCCCGCCGCCCGAACCCTAGAGCAGCGGGTCCAGGTTGGCTAGGTTCTAGAGGTCATACTAGTACAGACGGTCGGCCCAGTTTGGCCCAAGGTTAGGGCAGTAGTTTTTGAGGGGGGGCAGCTCAGGCTCGAGAGGTACAAGAAGTACCACCCTCCTACTTTCAGTGGCTTGTCTCCAGAGGATGCCCAAGGTTTTCTAGAGGAGTGCCACCGTATCATCTGTACTATGGGTATTGTGGAGTCTAGTGGAGTTGCTTTCACTACGTTCCAGCTTAAGGGAGCAGCTTATCAGTGGTGGCAAGCATATGAGTTGGGTAGTCCGGCCGAGGCAGCTTCACTCACTTGGACTCAATTCTCAATTATGTTCTTGAGGAACTAAGTTTCCCAGAGTCTTAGAGATGCATGGTGCGTAGAGATTGAGCAGTTACGCCACGGTTTTATGACCGTGTCGGAGTATGCGGTCCGGTTCAGTGATTTGGCTAGGCATGCGCCAGCCTTGTTTTCTATTGTCAGAGAGCGAGTCCATCAATATATTGAGGGGCTCAACCTTGGTATCATATTTAGCATGGCGCGAGAGTTGGAGATGGACATCGCATACTAGCAGGTGGTGGCGATCGCTAGGATATTGGAGGGTATGTTGACTCGGGAGAGAGAGGGGAGGAGGCCAAGAGGTCTCATGATTCTGGCACATATAGTGGTACTCGTGCCCCAGTTGCAGCTCGTCATGGTAGAGGCTATGGGAGTCGCCCTTTTCATTCAGCACTTCCAGCTTCCAGCGATATTCCGGCCACTCCTAGGCCTCAGGCTCCCTATTATGCACCGCTACTGTCTAGTGCACCTCCTGCACGGGGTGCTTGGAGCGGTCAGTCCAGCCGATCAAGCCGAGCCAGCCACAGTAGCCACGCCCTCTGAGAGCTTATTTTGAGTATGGTGACACTCTTCATATGGTGATGGATTGCCCCAGACTTAGGAGGGGTGAACCTCCATATACTACTCAGGCTCCGCGTGCTCCACCAATTCCTCAGGACATGGTTACCGCACCAGTTGCCACTCAACCTGCACAGCCAGCTTGAGGTGGAGGTTAGGCAGCTAGAGCCCGCCCTAGAGGGGGAGACCGGGACAGATATTATGCTTTTCCTACTAGGAAGGAGGTAGTTACATCTGACTCTGTCATCATAGGTATTGCTTCGATCTGTCATAGAGATGCATCAGTCTTATTTGATCCAGGCTCCAGTTATTCATATGTGTCATCTTATTTTGCTCTGTATTTGGGTGTGTCCCGTTATTCTTTGGGTTCTCCTATCTATCTGTCTACACCTATGGGAGATTCTATTGTTATTGACCGTATGTATCAGTCGTGTTTAGTTGTTCTTGGTGTTTTTGAGACAGAGCCGGTCTATTGTTGCTCATTATGGTAGATTTTGATATTATCTTGGACATGGATTATTTTTCGCCCTATCATGCTATCCTTGATTGTCACACTAAGATGGTGATGTTGGCTATACCAAGTCTGCCGCGGCTAGAGTGGAGAGGTACTTTAGATTATTTTCTTAGCGGGGTTATTTCATTTCTAAAGGCTCAGCGGATGGTTGAGAAGGGCTGTGATGCTTATCTAGCATATGTGAGAGATGTCAATGTTGATACTCTAATCGTCGAGTCAGTTCCGGTAGTGAGGGATTATCCAGATGTATTCCCAACGGATCTTCCGAGCATGTCGCCCGACAGGGACATCGACTTTGGTCTAGGTTTGTTACCGGGCACTCAGCCCATCTCTATTCCTTCATATCATATGGCCCTACCAAAGTTGAAGGAGTTAAAGGAGCTATTTCAGGAGTTGCTTGATAAGGGCTTCATTTGGTCCAGTATGTCGCCTTGGGGTGCTCCAGTATTGTTTGTAAATAAGAAGGGTGGTTCTATGCGCATGTGTATTGATTATCGCCAGTTGAACAAGGTTACGGTGAAGAACAGGTATCTATTGCCACGTATTGATGACCCATTTGATTAGCTACAGGGTGCTAGAGTGTACTCCAAGATTGACTTACGTTCAGGCTATCATCAGTTGAAGATTCCGGAACCATATATCCCAAAGATTTCCTTCAGGACTCGGTATGGTCAATACGAGTTCCTTATGATATCATTTGGGCTGACCAACGCCCCACCAGCATTCATGAACTTGAGGAATAGTGTATTTCGGCCCTATCTTGACTCATTCATCATTGTGTGTATTGATGACATTATGGTGAACTCCCGAAGCCGGGAAGATCATGAGCAGCACCTGAGGACCGTGCTTCAGACCTTGAGAGAAAAGAAATTATATGCAAAATTTTCGAAGTGTGAATTCTCACTAGATTCAGTGGCATTTTTGGGTCATGTATTATCGAGTGAGGGGATCGAGGTAGATCTATAGAAGATTGAAGCAGTGCTGAGTTGACCCAGACTGTCTTCAGCTACAGAGATCCGGAGTTTTCTTGGTTTTGCAGGGTATTATCGTCGATTTGTAGAGGGTTTCTCATCTAGTGCACCTATGACCAGACTGGCCCAGAACGTGCTCCCTTCAGGTGGACCGAGGAGTGTGTGGAGAGCTTTCAAAAGCTCAATACTGCTTTGACTATAGCCTCAGTGTTGGTATTGCCTATAGGTTCGGGGTCTTACACTATGTATTGTGATGCATCGCGCATTGGTCTCGACGTGGTGTTGATGCACAACGGTAGGTGATTGCCTACGCGTCTAGACAACTGAAGGTACATGACAAGAACTATCCCTATGTAGATTCTCATTTACTCGGTGATGCCCCGGTTTTGGGAGTGATTTTGTATTGAGTTCTGATTTCTTATTCTTTTTTTTTAAAAGGTTTTCCTTAAATTTAACTACTTCCGTATCTTTAAAAGTATTAGAGTGTTGGGAATGTCAGAATAGTTGTCTTGCCTAGTTCTATAATAGGTGCCATCACGAAGGGATGGTTTTGGATCGTGACAAGTCGGCTCTTGAGATAAGGTGGTTATGGGTAGGTTGCTGGAATTGGTTGAATTGAAATGTTTATACTTAGCAAGTTTAAAATGGGAAGAATGTGAATTTCGTATATTCATGCTTGATTGCCATTATCGACCATAGTCAAAGGTAGAGTGTATAGTTAAAAAATTGAATTGCTCCTCTCTAGTTGAGATGTACGTTGTTGGGGTGTAGTTTATAGTTTCATTGCTCGAGGGAAAGCAGGAGTTTAAGTGTGGGGTATTGATATTCGCTTTAAAGTATGTATATTTATATACATATTGCCTCGCATTATACTCATGTTTCGTAGATTTTTGGATGTGGAATGTAATAATTTACTCTAATTCGTGATATATTTATGTGGAGGAGTCAACCGGAGGCATGCGGGACGAAAGTGCACGGTTTGAAGCAAAAAGGGAACAAAACAAAAAAAACGGGCCGCCCTGGGTAGCGCCCCATGCTACCCGTAGCACAGTTTACAGATGCAAAAATTTTCCAGCGCCGGGGCTAGTGTCCCGCGCTACCCTGGGCACTGGGTGACGAGAATTCTCCTATTTCACGCATGACAAAGTTATTTCGGTCCTACACACTCCCAACTCGTATAAAAAGAAGTCTAAACCTAATTTGGAAGGGATCTAACAAATTTTGGAGGAGAGCACGCCCCTTTTGGAGGGGAGAATGAAAACCATGCTTGAAGGAGGCTTCTAACTAGTTTTTCTTCTCTTCTTTCTTTAATCTCATAGTTTATTAGTTTTAGAGTTGTGGGTGCTACATGAACGTTGTAGTTTGAAGATTGAATTGTTCTTATTAGTTTATCATATTGGTTTATTTATTCAATCTTGTGCTTAATTATTTTATTGCTTGATCACTAATTGAATACTATCTATGAATCTAGGATTGAACTCGGGAAAGGGAATTCTAGATTGCATATAAGATTGAGTAGAGCGAGATCTTGAACCTGAGTATCGGGAACTGATTTGCTGTTACGATAGGGATACACCTAATCATCTTGCTTGGTTACTATACGGGAATTATTAATGCATTCTTGTTAATCCTAACTCCATAGGAATATATGTGCTAGGTTAGCTTGAATTGGCGAGTAGTACTTCGGGAGAGTAGTATTAGTAATATTAACCCTGTCAACCAATAAATTAGATAATTTAAGTGAAAAACTCAACGAAATCTAACACATAGCTCTGGAATATTCTCGCCCATTGAATTCGTATCTAAGCTTGCCGACGTATTTTCATTAATCTCTTAGTTTACTACTCTAAATTAGTTTAGTTAAATAATTACACCTTAGGAATCTCTTGAATAGTTTAATTGTCTTAGTTTAATTTGGTAAATAGTTAATCACAAGTCCTTGTGGGTACGATATCTGGACTTACAATCCTATATTACTTGTACGACCACGTATACTTGCGTGTGCGTTTGCGAGCAACAAGTACATTAAAAGTTTAAAAATTTTAAATAATTTTAAAAAAGTCACAAAAATAAAATATCTAGTATTTTCTTTATAAATATATAATAATACATTAGTGTTAAAGTTACTATAAGATAAAAATCAACTACAACGTCTTGTTTTTCAGACAATTAAAAGATCACAATATTTTAAAAGATATTATCAAACTACACAATTTACCTTTTTAAAAGTTACTTAATAGTTAATAAACTCCATCAATATTGGAACTTAAAATATTACTCCACATGAGTAAATATAAATTGCTCGCAAAATAGTAAAAGTTCGATAATTTTGATAGATAAAGAACTAAAAGTATGAATACATATAGTAAGCGAAGATGTAAATTTTGGTTATTTAAATGATATTCACTCTCTGGTGTTTTGAATTAGTAAATATGCCATGCTATGACTTATTATTTTGAGTTACTCTAAATTTTCATATTTCTATAAATGAATACAATTTTAATCATTCATTTGTTAAAGAATTTTGGGTCTCAACGGTGCTAACTAGGGAATTTAACACATGATTTGCGCTAAAACTTGTTATGCGAGCCCGAGCGGTGAGCATTAGGCGTATTTTGGATGCACAATTGGGCACTTGGGGGTAAGCCTCACAGAACTAAGCTTCACATGTGAGCCTCATGGCGTTTTGATAGGGTGAGCACCAAAGCGAGTTCCAAGAAAGCCTTTTAAAACACTGTTTCTAATTTATTTCTTTCTTTAAAGGCAGAATAGCCTAAATGACACCTATACTTATGTTACTTTGTCATCCCGGTCCATGTACTCAATGAAGTTTCATCCAGACACCTAAACTCAGTCAAAACATGTATTTTAAACCACTTCGGCATTACGTGTTGGTCACTCGCCTGACGTGGAGAAAATATCATGTCCACATCAGATAAATCAATGCCACATCTTATTTATTTAAAAATTAATTTTTAATAATATTTCAAATCCATCCCCATCTTCCTATGCTGTCGGCGACCCTTATCACGGGAAAACAACCCGGAAATTGGAGTCACCTCCACCATTTTGCTCTCTTTCCTCCTTTTTGAGCACAATCTTAAACCCCAATTCATATGCATAAAACTCTTCAATCTTGATAAAAAAAAAATTATCCTGCTTTATCTCTTTACTCTCACTATTCTAGGTAAAACCAGTGTAATCTTAGAATTTAATGAGACGCAAAAGGGGCAACAACCAACGAGCAGCATGCCATCACTAGAAAATAAAGAACTACATCGCTGGAAGTATTTCATTGCCAACCACCACAAAGCAAAATCAGATCATTGGAAAATAATCACTAGTGGACTCCACCACCTATTTCTCCACTCACCAGACTCCTTTGGAAAATCCATAACCACAATGGACATGAAAATTACTTGGCCATAGCTTTTTGATATCTTTAAATACTTTAACCCCATTAACAGGTCTGCTTATTTAGCTTCCCTCAAAGAAAATTCTTCTCCTTTTTGTACTATTAATTTTGTTCCTAACTATCCACAAAGGGGCGGGGGTGGGGAGGTGGGGGGGAGGGGGTTACGATAGGAAAGAGGGGGGGGGAGAAAAAGACAGGGAGAAACGGGGGGAACAGAAGGGTTGGGAAACAGTACTTAGGTTGGGAAATTAATTAATTTACTTTTTTTTTATGGTTATTCTTTATTATTTTTAATATTTGTAAATCAAAACAAATATATCCACTCTCCTTTTTAGAGCGTGTTATCACTCATTTTTGTGACTCAGCAAAATGAATGACACATAAGCTCGGTCAATGGTCAGAGGGGTTTGAAATACATGTTTTGACGGAGGTTAGGTGTCTGGATGAAACTTCATTGAATACAGGGACCGGGATGACAAAGTGACACAAGTATAGGTATCATTTAGGCTATTCTGCCTTCTTTAAATATTTCTTATGTAACCACACTTTAATATTGTCAAGCATTCATTGGCAAAAAACAATTACAATTACCATCGCTACAGTTTCAACTTACAGGATCATGTAATATAAAGTTTCACCATTTGAACAGAGAAAGGAACACAGAAAATCGTAACTGCCATTGGCAGCAGTGAATGGAATATTATCTCCGTTAACCACCGATAGTTAAACGATTAAAATTTCTCCTTGTGTCAAATTAAAGGTTAAATTGGAAATGTCGAAATATCACAGGGGCCAAAATCAGAATAAGACAATAACACAGGGATAAAAAATGCTATTTTCCCATTTCTAAAGAACTACGATAGCAACTGTCTAGGCATGAAGGTTCCGAACCTTGCGTCCACATCCATAGCTCTAGGCCCTTCTAAATACTTAGGCATTAAGATTATTTTTTTGGGGTATTTAATTCAAGAGTATCAGTATTTGCATTAGAGTTCGATTAAATTCAAATTCGTGCTAGAATATTTCACATTGGGGGTAAATTGCTCCCTTACAAAAGTGATTTTATAACTTAAACTGCTGATTAAGAATGAAGAAGTACGTACCACTTCACCGACGTGGACATGAAAATTGGAACCTTGCTTCCTAGATACAGCCCCTTATAAATGCTTACCCATGTTCACACGGCTAGTTATCAAGTTTCTCGTTGGCTACCCCATAACTTTTCTTTATTTCCTTATTCATAATCTTCTTCTTTTCCTGTGCACTTAGAAATCACTATTTTAACTTATTTTTGCAGGCTAGAAGGTAAGGTAGCATTTATAACTGGTGGAGCTAGTGGCATAGGAGCAGCCACAACTAGGCTATTTGTTCAACATGGTGCAAATGTTACAATTGCAGACATTCAGGACAACCTCGGAACTTCCTTAGTACAAGAGATTGGCACACAAAAGGCAATCTTTATCCATTGCAATGTCGCGATTGAATCGGATGTTCAAAATGCAGTAGATGCAACAATTGAAAAGTTTGGTAAGCTCGACATAATGTTCAGTAATGCTGGTATAGGAGGTAAGCCAATTTCCAGCATCTTAGAAGTCGATTACGACATAATTAAGACCGTGTTCGATGTAAACATTGTTGGCGCCTTCTTTTGCGCTAAACATGCTGCTAGAGTGATGATTCCGGCTAAAAAAGGTTCCATTATATTCACAGCAAGTGCTGCGACTGTGGTCTATGGTCTAGTCCCGCACGCATATTCTGCATCAAAAGGTGCAGTTTTGGGACTTTCCAAGAACATTGGAGTCGAATTAGGTAAGTATGGAATAAAAGTTAACTGTGTTTCTCCTCATTATGTTGGCACACCACTTGCGTTAAATTGGCTTGGAATAGCTGATAAACAAATAGCAGACAAATTGTTTGCAGAAGCAGGAAATTTGAAAGGAGCATTATTAGATGAAGAGGAGGTGGCAAAAGCAGTGCTCTATTTGGCAAGTGATGATTCCAAATATGTAAGTGGAATGAATTTAGTTCTTGACGGTGGTTTTAGCACCACAAATGTGGGTTTAGCCTACAACAAATTGTTCCCATCTACTACTCATCAGACCACCAATAATTAAAACAGTGAAACTATTTGCTTGGAGGAGGAGGAGGAACGGATCTTGTAAAAGCAATGCTTATTAAATCAAGTGGGATTATAAATAATTAGAGACAAGACAATCTTATATATATGTTGTATTCAAATGATATTGATCAGATCATTTGATTGATCAACCTATCCAATATGGAAATTATGAATTCGATAACAATAAAGCAAGGATTATTAAGGAGACGAATTGGTTGGGATTAAGAGGGTATTTGGCTAAGCTTATAAGCTGGTCAAACTGGCTTATAAGCACTTTTTAGCTTATCTACGCGTTTGGTAAAATTAAAAGTGCTTATAAGTTAAGTGCTTATAAGCCAAAAAAAATAAGCCAAAAGTCATAAGTTGGTCTCCCCCAACTTATCAAATTTCAGTTTATAAGCAGTTTAAGTTTGACCAAAATATTTACTATTTTATCCCTAAAATACTTATTTTTAAAACAAAACTCTTCGTATACCCAGTTCTTTAGCTGCATATTATTAATTTCAGCACTTTTATCCAAACACGTAACTGCTTATTTTTTAAATCAGCTTCAGCACTTAAAAGTGCTTTTCAGCACCTAATGCTTATCAGCTACTCTAAATCAGCTTAGCCAAACAGGCTCTAAGTCTTATTCTTTGCTCGTGCACTTACATTAGATTGGGTGTTAATTCTTAGGAGTGTTAGCTTGTTTAGATATTCCTATGCCAATATTACGTAGAGATGTGAATTGAACACACTTTCGTTTTTACTAGGTGTTACTGAGGTGTTTAATGAATAGAGTTGGCATCTCTACTTGCATCGATTTAATATCTCGGCCTCCTACTTCATGAAGATTCATTGAGACACTTAACTTATTTGAATATACTCTTTTAAACACCTTCCAACCCTGCATGTATCTTAATTTCTCATACGTGAATGACACATTAGATCCACATTAGTTGCAACGTCATACATAATTGATTTCAACAAATTCTTCATAACCCATTTTGAATCAAAACCCACAAAGAGGATTCAAAAATGATTCCGAAATTACAGGAAGATGGAGGACTTCAAATAGAATAACATATTGAGTTTTTTGTTGTTCTTTGGAATATAAAGATAAGTCAATCAAATCCCAAAGCTCACCCAAAATACAAAAAATTGAAGGATTAAAATCCAATTAGACAATCAATTTTCTTTTTAGAATATAAATATAAAACAAATTAGAATAAACAGCAAAAGAGACAGTTTGGTAGCTAAGAATTGAACTGAGTTGGACGAAACGAGGAAACCCCCCCCCCACCCCCACCCCCACCCCACAAAAAAAAATTATTCAATTAGGAATTTGGCATAGAGTAGTATTTGATATTATTGGTTGAAAAAATAGAATGGTGACGGAGAGATGAGGAGATGGTGGCAGCAAAAACAAATAACAAAGGTTGGGTGGGTGGCTGAGTTTGAAACAAAAATGGGATCCCTTTTTTCTCAGACCTTTTACCCCTTTTTCTTTTGCCTTTTCTTCTTATTTTTTTAAATTTATATTAATCATTACTAAAGTTAAATTCACCAATTCACGCTAGTCAAACACGTGTATATCATATATTTTGTCCAGTTCATATATATCACTGCCATATAAGTTCGGTCAACAGCTAGAAGGGTTTAAAATATTGGATTTGAGCAAGTTCAGGTGTGTGTACGAGTAAAATCGGGGGCAATGTCAATCCCAAATCTCCGATGAGAGAACAAAGGGGGAGCACGGATACGGGAGATTGTAATCAAGGTCAAAGGCACTTCGTATCGAGATCCTGGAAGAGTGAACGGTATATCCGATATCGGACATCGTAAAACGACGCACCCTAGGCCGAGTGTAAGTTCTCGACCTCGGGAGACACGGTGGACGGTTATGCATGAAGGATAGAGGACCGTAATACCTGCCCTCAATCGGATATCACGGCGCGAATCTCACTCGATGTCGATCATGGATCAACAATAACCGGGAAAAGAAAACTTTTACCTTTTTTAGACTTATACTAGAGTTGGAACTCTCCTACTATATAAAGAGCAAGTTTTTTCTTTTGTAACACACATTGTAACACGCAATTCAATGCAATAAAAGTTTATTTTTATCTTCCAGCTACAGTTAAGAACTTTGCTTACTTATTCTGTTCTTCATTCACGACTGGGCTCGAACCGAGAGTCCAATCGAGGACGAGGCCACTTTTCAATCTACGATCAAGCTTGGTCATAACACTGCAACTGGTTTGATCGTTTATTTCGCCTTTAATTCATTTATTTGTCATTCTTAATTATTCATGTTGAATTAAACCACTTATCCTTTAAACCGCATACAACTTTAATTGTTGCCTAATTTAGGGGTAAATAGTTTGGCACCCACCGTGGGGCTAAGGATTGATTTTACACGAATCTTCATAACACACCATGTTTTACGCTTGTTCTTTGAAATCCTAGTTTCAGGTTAGCCTAAAAATGTCAAACTCTCAGCCTGCTCACTTGAACGTTGACAGAGTCTGGCTATCACGGCAAAAATTATAATTTATTGCTCACCAACGATGTGCCTCCTGCCGATACCAATGGTGTCCCAGCTGCCGACCCAGTCGACGCTAACTTGCAGGTGGCCATCAACATCAATTTGCCAACTGATCCCGAAAACAGTGTTCACGGGGGACCCCGACCAACAGTTCGAGAAGCGCCCGAAGGCAAAGGTGATGGGGTAAGCCTACGGCTAATTTTCGAAATGATGCAGGCTCAAAAAGCGGCAATAGCACAGCTGCAGAATCAAAGCCACGCCCCCAACAGGGTCGAGCCCGAACAATCCGTGGAAAGCACTCAAAGAGACGAACAAATTATCGAGAGACCATGTGAATCCGAGCCCGGGGTGAATCTTGAGGTACTGAAAATGCTCGAGCGCTGACAAAAATGGTGGAGTCAGGTGAGAAAAATAGTAAGGCTAATGACAAGAAGGTGGAAACATACAATTCCAGGGTCGATCAAATCCTGGGAGCACCCCCGATATTGAAGGGATCGGACTCCAAAAAATTTATCCAGAAACCTTTTCCTCCGAGTGCAGCACCAAAGCCGATCTCAAAGAGGTTTCATATGCCCAACATCCCCAAATATAACGGGACCACGGATCTGAATGAGCATGTGACCTCCTATACATGCGCAATCAAGCGGAACGATTTGGAAGACGATGAGATCGAGTCAGTGTTACTGAAGAAGTTTTAGGGAGACTTTGTCCAAGGGAGCAATGATATGGTATCACAACTTGCCCCCAAATTCCATTGACTCCTTTGCGATGCTTGCAGACACTTTTGTAAAGGCCCATGCCTGGGCCATCAAGTCGAGAACAGAAAGTCAGATCATTTCAAGGTCAAACAAAGGGATAACGAGATGCTCATGGAGTTGGTGTCGAGATTCCAGATAGAACAGATGGACCTACCACTGGTTGCAGATGATTGGGCCGTTCAGGTATTCACTCAGGGGATCAAACCCCGAAGTTCCTTGGCCTCTCAACAGCTAAAACAAAATTTGGTAGAGTACCCGGCGGTAACCTGGGCCGAAGTCCACAGGTACCAATCGAAGATCAGGGTCGAGGACGACCAAATCGGGGACCTTTATGGAACTGTTTACCCCGTCAAGGCCGATGATAGATCTAAGAGAACCATTGATCAAGAGCCGAGATCGGTATCAACCATACAACACGGACCGAAGGGGGAATGGATCCGGGCATCACGTCGCAAGGAACAAGAAGAGAACTGACCGAGGGCCTAGTGGCCGAGGTCTGATGAGCAAGAATGGGTTGGACAGGCAGCTTAGGAGTAGGGAAGCACCAAGATTATCGGAGTACAACTACAACGTGGACGCTGCCAGCATCATGTTGGCCATAGGCGCATCAATGAGACCAAGTGGCCCCAACCATTGCACTCCGACCCTACCCAGAGAGATCATAATTTGATGTGTAAGTATCACGGCACTCATGGTCATAGGACAGAAGATTGCCGACAGTAAAGAGAAGAAGTTGCTCGGTTATTCAACAACGGGCACCTCCCAGAATTCTTGAGTGAGAGAGCCAAAAACTACTTCAGGAATAGGGACGCCAACAAGCAGGTCAAACAAGAGGAGCCTCAGCACATGATCAACATGATCATTGGGGTAGTTGAAGTCCCCTAAAGTGTCTATTAAGGAAAATGCACCCGGGATTATATTCCGGAGGGAGCCATTTCTTTCAGCGACGAAGATGCCGAGGGCATCGTACAACCTCACAATGATGCACTGGTAATATCCGTACTCATCAATAACTCTCGTGTTAAATGTGTGTTGATTGATCCAGGTAGATCGGCCAACATCATCAGATCAAAGGTCATAGAACAATTAGGGTTACAAGACCAAATCGTACCAGCAGTTTGGGTATTGAATGGATTTAACATGTCATGTGAAACCACGAAAGGGAAGATAACCTTGCCAGTAAACACCGTCGGGACAATCCAAGAGACGAAGTTCTACGTGATCTTAGGGGACGTGAGGTAAAACGCCCTATTCGAACGACCATGGGTCCACAACATGAGGGCGGTGCCCTCGACGTTGCACCATGTGTTGAAATTTCCTACACCGGGGGGAGTAAAACGGTCTACGGAAAACAGCCGGCTACAAGGGAGATGTTTTTTGTTGATGAGGTAATTCGATGCCCGCGGTTTTGACATCAAGAAACACGCAACCGACCAAAAAGGAAGAGATTAAATAGCAATCACAGATACTGGCCTCGTCCAAACCATAGAAACATGAAGAACAATGAGCAGACGAGGAGGACGATTACGACGTCCCGAGATCATTCATAGCTCCTGATGACACCGACGCCACCAAATCAACGGTTGAAGAGTTGGAGCAAGTCATATTAATTGAGAAACTACCCAATCGAAAGATATACCTGGGCACGGGGTTAACCCCCAAGCTTAGGAAAAAACTTATTGATTTTGTTAAAGCTAACGCTGATGGTTTCGCTTGGTCCCATCTTGACATGACAGGGATCCCACCGGAGGTAACCACTCACAAGCTGAGTTTGGACC